GTTATCTTAACTTTGCAAACTTTCGCATGCCTTTTTAGGCCTGTTCCCATTGGATGACAAATCTGTTTATTGAGCCACAAATCAGCTTCTGGAACTATGCAGAATAAGTCTAATCCACCATCTACATTAATAGTCCTTCAAATACTTGAAGACGGCTTTCATGAATTTAATAACTGCTTTCTGTGGCTTCTTTTTTTTTAATTTCAAGAATAGAACACAGTAGACTGTAAAAATGAGCATTATCAGTCTTCCTTTGGATTTTCTATGTAAATGTTGTTTAACATTCAAATGGTGCTGATTATAATTTGAGATATTAACAGTTAGATATGCCATTGTGTCCCTCTGTTATTGTTTGTAAAGGAGGTTAAACAGTATATTAACTTCTGAGTGGTGATTTACTGTTGCTTTTGTCAGAGAAAAATAAAAAAGAAGTAAAATAATATAATTTGATATTGCCTTTGAGACTTTTCAGTTTGTGGAAGTCTTTATTTCCTACTCAATTTTATTTTATTTTTTTAAAGCACACATGTAGTGTAAATACAGCATCACACAAATGCAGAGTTGTTCTTTTCTTCCTGGATTAAGTTGTTGTGTAATATTGCTCTGTAACCATTAAGCAGCTGCTCTGCTTCAGAGATGCTCATATTTCCTTTGGTAGACGAAGGGAATCTGCTATATGAATATCTCCAAATTGCTTTAAGATCTTTAGCTGTTGTATCAGCAATTTAGATTTACAGTGGTCAGTGTAACATGTGAAAAACATGTTCCTGAAAGGCCCCAGTACCCTGGAGGTTACAGATGAGGTTATGTTAGTAGCAAATAACCTGACATTTTGCTGAGTCTCACCCTCTATCCTACTGCAGGGCTCCTGACCCATTGCAAAACTCTTCCCGTCATTTTGCCACAGTCCTATTGTCTTCTGTATGCTAATGAGTAAGCACTAGTAGGTATCCAAGTACTAGCTTAAGTATCCAAGTACTGTTTCATCCATGATTTCTTTTTCACTTTGCCATATCTTGGGTAATGCCTGTCCATTGCAAACAAAGGCTGCGCTGCCTGCAGAGATGCATGAAGGTGGCAGCCATCTGCTTCAGGTGCTTCTCCCAGGCTACCCCCCTTACCTGATTACCACCTGTCCCTGTTTCTCTAGGTACATGGTTAATAGGCATTACCACTCATCCTCAAGAACGCTTCCTCCACTAAAGTCTCAGTGGGCTTCATGCAGGAGTAGAGCCCAATGGGACCTGTGTAGTTTTTTTCATTTTATCTAGTAGGTTCCAAAGAAGTTCTGATATATTTCCGATGCCTTTCATAGTTTCAGTAAAATACCTCTTTCCATTGTTTTTGTAGATTCCAATTTCCTAGGACCTGGGAAGTTGGTGGTAGACGAAGGGAATTTACTCTATGAATATCTCCAAATTGCTTTAAGATCTTTAGCTGTTGTATCAGCAATTTAGATTTACAGTGGTCTCTGTAACATGTGAAAAACATGTTCAGGGTAGTAGAAAAACAGGGTAGTGCCGTGTCCAGGGTAGTGGAGAAGCACCCTGCTACATGCTGAATTGTCTTCTTTTTTCCTGTGCAATAGTCATTGTTTTGTGTATGTTTGACTGCCTGACTATCTTCCCACTGGTAGAATTGGCCTTCACCTGGCTCATCCCTTCTTCATGATTTGGCTTCCAGCAAGCTCACACCCCACTCCATCTTAATGGTCACGACTTAGGAGCAAATGGCTCTCTGACTCCTCCTTGGAGTAATAAGGAAATGAACTTCAGATTATACATACATATTGCAATGTTACGTATTACATCTGATATAGTTTATGTAAATACATTGAAATACTCATCACTTATTCATTGATTTATTTAACAAGTATTTTTGGATTCTTACTATTTAAATACTTCCAGTTCTTTGATTGTTACTTTGTATTAAATGCCTGATGTTAGACATTAGTACACAGCAAAGTCAGAAATATAATCTGATCCTAATCATTACTCTTTCTTATTTTACCCAAAAGCCTAAATACACTCTTCAGCAAACAAGTTCTAGGGAATAACAAGGGTTAGTATAATTATCCATAAATCTTAAACCGTCTATATCTACATTGTATTAAAATGACTAAGATGTTAATGTGTGACCCTGTTTTTAAAGTTGAATTTTAAAATTTTGTTCTGACTCTATGTATAGGCAATGAGTTAGTCATTAAGGAAGATATAGAGATGAACAAAACACAGTCACTCCCCTAAATAAAGGAGCTGGTAACACAGCAATGACTGCAAGACTTGAAAACAGATCTCTCAGAAAAGCTGAAAGTACAAAGAATAAAATTAGTACAAACTAGGTGCTATGCAAGTACAGAGGAAAGAGATTTCTGGCTGGGCCAGTGGGTGGGAGAAGGAGGTGGAGAAGCAGTTTATGGAGTGGGTTGGTGGTAGGGTTGCACTTTGAAGGTGTGTAGTAAGAGGGCCATCTCACCGCAGGGAGCTGCAGGAGGAAGATATGAAGGTATGCATTTACAGAGTCCAATTGGGTGGTAACAAATAATCCTGTGTGACTGGTTAAGTATATGAGCTGCAGTCATTTTTTTTTTTTTTTTTTTTTTTGAGGTGGAGCCTCCCTCTGTTGCCCAGGCTGGAGTGCAGTGGCACGATATCTCAGCTCACTGCAACCTCCGCCTCCTGGGTTCAAGTGATTCTCCTGCCTCAGCCTCACGTGTAGCTGGGAATACAGGTGCCTGCCACCTTGTATTTTTAGTAGGGATGGGGTTTCACCATATTGGCCAGGCTGGTCTCGAACTTCTGACCTTGTGATCCGCCTGCCTTAGCCTCCCAAGATAAATAAGGTTTTCATACTTAATGTATTTACTTGATCAAGTTTATTATATATAAAATAAAGTATAAAGAACTATACTTTAAACAACAACAAAAGCAACAAACATCTTTCTATATGATGGTAACTTATAGTGGTCCAGAAGAGTCAAAACATCTCTTTCCCCAACCAGGCAAGGTAGTCAATGTCCTTTTTAGCATTCATGACTTTTAGCACCTTGTACAGTGCTTGTTACGTAGAAGTTTCTTAATAATTACTGAAATGAATTTAACCTGGTAAAAATTAATTACTCTTAGCTGGGCGTGGTAGGGCACACCTGTAATCCCAGCTACTCAGGAGGCTGAGGCAGGAGAATCACTTGAACCTCGGAGGCAGAGGTTGCAGTGAGCTGAGATCACGCCAGTGCACTCCAGCCTGGGTGGCAGAGCGACACTCCATCTCAAAAAAAAAAAAAAAAAAATTAATTGCTCAAGAAATAAGAGTTTCTTAAAATAGAAGTGCATTAAATGGGGACATTTTGTTTAATACTCTTAAAAATGTGTATGTATTTTTCGGAATAATGACTTAATGTGACACCTGTTTTATCCCCAGCTGAGATCTTACAACTTCCTCTCACACTCCTTGTTTCATTCTGTTTCTGAAGAAGGTGGGTGGGTGGATGTCAAACATCGATGGCTCCTCAGTTCACAGCAGTGAAACATAGATGCTAATTGAATGATTTTCTGTCTTTTCATGCTATGTATGCTTGAAAAGCAGTGTGGTGACATTTGTTCTGGTAAATTTTCTGAATAAAGATTTGCAAAGCATTTTGAACTGTTGGGAGGCCAGTGTGCATAATTCAGTATGTAGCTGATGGCTGGCTCCACTGGCCAATCTTAATTTATTGGTAGCATGTAACCAGTGCTTATCATGGGGTTTATGTATTTATCTCCCTTAGTATTCATAACAACTCTATAAGATAGGTGATTTTTATCATCTCTAATTTGTAAGTGAGGAATCTGAGGCAGAAAGAGGACTAATAACCTAGCCAAGATTTTATAACTGGTAATCTGTGGCTAGAATTCAAATCCCAGCTCTTTGACTTCAGTGCTCCGGGTTGCTACGCTACCCATGCCTCACATCTCTGAACTGAATCTAATTTCTTGATGAGCCCTAAAGCTTTAGGTAAAATCCGGTCAAATTGCCGGTTCTTAGAATCTAGTTTTGCTTGTTTGTTTCTCAGAAGCATTTCAATTCTGAGGATTTTCAAACTTATTCTCTCCTAGGACAGGAGCAAGTAGGCCATAACATCCCTCCCTAAGGTATTCTCTCCCTCTTCACACTCATTACACCCCCTTAACATAAGTGAGAATGGAGTGGGCTGGGTGCAGGGTTACTGCTGTTTATGGGAATTCTCATCTCTAGTTTTGGACATAGTTAAACTAGCTAGCAGGCAGGCTCCATGGCCTCCGTAGACTCTGCCCAGGTGTCACTTGGCTTTCCCAGAGGCCTGGATTCACCACTGTTTGCCAAAAAAAGGTGATCAATTCTTGAAATGAAAGGAGTCCAGTGGAATAGTAGCAAGGGTGAGGAAAGCAGTGAAATTGTGCAATGTGTATTAAAGATGTCCAGAAATAGGTCAATGCAAAGTTCTGTATTTGCTGTATATACAAGTTCTGCTTTTTGTTCAATTAGTGACCCTGGAATAAGGGTGGGAGTGCTGGTAACAGCAGCTCACTTTCTTTAATCAGGGAAGGTTTTACAAAAGAACAGTGGTTTCAAGAGATCTTTGAAGTTATTCCAGCAAGGTGCTAATTGTGGTTGTGGTTTTCCTTTTTCTTTCATTTTTCACTTTAGTTTACCAGGTGCTACTGAGTCAAAAGCATTCACTGAGAGCCCACAGACCATTCTGTATGCATGGGCCATGGCAAATCAAACTGCATCAATAACCCCGTACTTTTAGAAAGGGAAGAAAAATGTTCCTAAGAGATTATTTGGTATCTAAACTTTTTACTTTTGTTTAAACAAATCTAACTTGCATTCATAAGAGTTCTTCTTTTTAAAGTTCTTATTGTAAGCATATTTGGTTTTTGTTTAAACCTTTGGCTTTAAAACACTGAAATTCTAGTGTATAATCATTTATTTTGCTTTCTGCCTATGTTGATCATTTTTTCTTTAATGTTTATTTTCAGGATACCTTGAGGATAGTTTTGTAAAATCTGGAGTCTTCAATGTATCAGAACTTGTAAGAGTATCCAGAAGTAAGTAAATTCTTTTCTAACTACTTAAGCATGAAGTATGATTTAAAATACTTTTTATATTTTGTTCCTTAAATATCGTATAAAGAGTGACTACATATTAAAAAAATTGACTTTTAAAATCTTAAAACTTTTGATGAAATCATAACTGAATATCAAATCATCAAAACTTTTTGTTGTATAAAAATAATTTTTGGTTTTTCTGATTGCCATGTTATTGGTATTCATTTAATTCACTGTTCTCTGCATGACCATAGATGGCCATTTATATCAAAGGAAGTATGATTAATTAAATGTACCCTATGTTGTTATGATAACCCACATAAGTTTCCTGTAGATAAGTGCTTTTTCATTTTACTAACATTTTGGTGGGGGTTGGAGAGGTACAGGATATACACACTAATGTGCAGAGTGTAGAGGGATGCAGAAATTAACTTTGCAGACTGGAGTTGGATATAGATAGAAAGCATTGTTATCCAAAACAATGTCCAATTGTTTTAACTGGCCACTTCACCTGAGACACCATTCTTGGCAGGCTGGATCAGATTTTTCTAGGGTAAGCTCACCTGGCAGGCTACCTAAGCAAAGGGGACGTTACCTTGATTAACTCTTTTACTTATTACTAGCATGTACAAACATAGCCAAGATGTACATCTATATGTACTAATTATGTTAAAGGAGGTGACTCTTTTCTTCATGCCCCCTTCACTGATTTAGCATATTTATGTAACTTTGAAGGGTATGTTTTCACCTGACATTTTGATAGAATGCATCACCTCGGAATGATGTTATTCAGATGATGTAGTCACACTCTGATACTTGCCTAAGTTGTGTTTTTCATTTGGGTCAAATTTAGAGATCATGAATAAGAATTATGATGATCCAGAAAGAACAGAGTGAGTTATTGAGAATAAGAATAAGCAGTGTTTTAGAGTCTTGTTCAGTAAAGGAACCTCCAAGTCATCAAGTGATTGCTGACTGTCTTTTCAACCACAGTTCCCCAAACAGCTCGCATTTCTAAAGTGAACAGTGCAAATAGCGTGTATATCAGGGAGTGATATATGTGAGCATTTAAGACCGTAAGTAGTTTATCCTTTCTGGTATAATTCTGGAGTAGATAAATGTATGCTCAAAAGACTTCTGTCATGGATCTTTTTACTTGGTGGCAGTAGGAGAAGAAACACAAATATCCTGTGTTCCGGTAGCCTCAGGGTATATATTTGATGGGCAAGGAGATTATCCAAGGCAATATGCCTTAATGTGTTTTTCCAGATCAATATGTGATATCCAAAGATATCCAACATTTGCAAGTTTTCACTTTTAATTTGGGAAGAAATATGCCTGAGTCATCAGTAGCACTTTGTAGCATCAGGTAAGAGAGGGGATATCTGGAGGGGTGTATTTGTTTTATCCATAGGGTTCTTTAGCAGAAAGGCTTATGAACTTATTTGCTTAAATTTGTACTTCTCTGAGTTCAAGTTCAGTGGTGTATTTTCATCCTTCTTAGGAGAAGGGCCATAGAGTCAGCTGTCAGAAAATATTTATTTAGTACCTCATTGTAGGTAATATTATGCTAAGGACTGTCAAAGGAGAACCACATTAGAACCTTCAAAAGCCCAGACAGATATTTTAAAAAATCTGAATTTCAAACATTAAAAAAAGATGAAAATTATCTTTCCAGAATAGTTCAAAACCAAGGTAAATCTAATATATGTCATTCATTCATTCTTAACTTATAATGTCGTATCTTAGAGGTTTTTAGATTATTTGTTATAACCAACATTACTGATTTGTAATTAGCACATTAATTATATTCATTAGGTAATTTATTCACCAAACATTTATTTTCTCCTCCATATGTAAATATGTATCTCTGAAATGCCTGAGAAGTTATCCTCCTAAGTGTTTTAATATATCCACATCATAATCTTGTTTGCACCATTCAACTTTATTATTTATGAAATAAGGGTTTGCTAAGTAAACATGAACTTCAGCACAAAACTTACGTGTGTATCACAAATTCTGGCTTGAGGGTTCACAGTATGCTAGTGGTTTCAGTCCTCCAGAGTTTTACAATCATAAGACCCACTGATGTGTATGTTGACTTTAGCTAATGAAGCTATTCAGCATTAGGATAGTGATCTCCCTGTTGAATGACATTATCTCCATCTTAAAAGTTGATTTAGGATCAGCTTTTGGAGTGAGGATAACAATAAGAAAGATTAAAGTTTGGCCTCTAACCCTTAGAATCTGAGGTTCTTTGGTGCTGCATTTTTAAGAGGATATCAGCAACCTCTTAAACATGATTTGCAGCTTTCAGCCTTCTTGTGGCTCCCTGGGAGAGGTGCTAACACTGATCTTTGCATCTGATGTAAGTTCTTCCAGAGGCTCTTAAGCAAGAATATCTGAGACTTGCTGTTCTCACACACTCTTTGTCATTAAATAATTTCTGTACTTTGGCCGTGTTTATTGTTAATCTACTTTCTTCCCCATTTACTGTCAGAATGAATACTAAATTGTTACAGTGTGCAGGCATAAATCTGTAGACTATCTTATTGCTATCTTTAAAAAATTAAAACATAATATGTGTACATATTGATGGAATCCATGGGATCTTTGGATACATGCATACAATGTGCAATGATTAAATCAGGGTATTTAGGATATCTGTAATCTCAAACATTTGTCATTTATTCATGTTGGGAATGTTTCAAATCTGTTTTTGCTATTTTGAAATATGCAGTATATTGTTGTTAACTCTAGTCACCCTGCTGTGCTATCAAGTACTGGAAATTATTCTTTCTATTATGACTGTGTGTTTTTACCCATTAACCGATCTCCCTTCATCTCCCTACCTCCCCACCTCTGACAACCCCTTCCATGAGATCAACTTTTTAAGCTCCCATGTATGAGTGAGACCATGCAATATTTGTGTTTGTTTGTTTTTTGCTTTCTTGACACTCTGGAATAATCCTTCTGGAAGAAAACTTAGAAAAAAAAATAAACTTTTGAAGATTTTAAAATTATCTTTACTACAAATTACATTTATTTATGGCTATACAAACTGTGCTGACTATGGAGCCATATGTATTCAATAGAAATTATAAATCTTTGCCTAAAAATTACATGAGCTTAATAAATTGAAAATAGTTTATATAAGGTAGAACCTCTATGTTTCCTGTTAGTAACTCAGGTCTGTGAATTGTATTTATTACTGTGATAAGAAGCCAGACAGATTGTTTTCTTCACTTGAGCCCCTGAAATGCCTCCTTCTAGCATGTAGCCCGCTTCCAGTGTCCCATAGAACATGGTTCTGATAATAAATTTTAAAACATGTGGTTACTGTGGGATTTCTTACCTCACATTTTTTTTAACCATTGGTGTACCTCAAGCCACAACATTTTAGTTGTCCAAATAGCTACATTTATTTGTCCAAATAATTCGAGCCATCAGGCATAGTTACTCATTGAATACACATATTTTCTGCGTAAAGGATGTTACAGTGTATTATAAAACATGAACAGTCTATCAGAAGGCAGATAGATACTCCAGAAGTTTGGAGCTGATACTCATCATGTATATACGATTTATTTAATTTTCAGTGGGGAAAGAGAGATGTTCATGGTATATTCCTTGATCACTTCTCCGTGATAAAGCTTGTGCCTCCTAATTATATTTTCTTAAAAATATTTTAAGTTAATCTTAGCCTGCCTAATATTAAAATAGAATTCAAGGGATAGCGAACACATTTAGAATATTCATTAAAAATTATGGGTAAGAAAACTTTCATAAAAATCTGCAGGCCTTTTAAACTTTTATACTCCACTTGAGACAGTTAGGAGGGAGGAGGAGATAAGTAGGCCACGTATGCTTAGAGTGAATCTCAGGGGCTCTAGAATTTGGTTGCAAAGCCTCAGAGTACACATTCATTTGAGCTTTTGAAGGGCTGATTAAGACAGGTGAAGAAATAGAAACAATTCTTAAGCAATGTTCTTTGACACCAACCTGCCTGGTCTTCACTTTGCACATTATCTCTACACATGATTTTGCTTCTGCAGCAGTCCCTGTTTAGAATGACCTCCCTCTCATCTCTTACTCGTTCTCTAAAGTCCAGTGCCAGCTATGGCTTCTCATAGACTTCTTGGACAATTCAAGCTGGTATTGGATTTTTTTTCCCCTTGCAATCCTACAGCAGTTATGGATCATGTCATTCATTTGGACAGTTTCATTGTCATCTATTTTGATATTTATAAGTTTTACATGAATGTTTTATTTACCCAGCTTCTTGTGCAATATTTTTATTAAGGGCAGTGTATGAGACTATTTTGTACCCATTGCAGCAATACCTGCCAGCAATGGACATAGTCAATAATCGAATGAACAAATTTTTAGCAAACAGGTTCATTTATACCTCTTCCTCTGCTTTTAGCACATTTTGAACTGTTCATCTTTGCTAACTATTCCAGTCTATTAGGGAAGAAATTTAGAGGAGAAAGCAAAGAAGGAAGGGAACTCATAATCACTGAGCACCTATTGTATACTAGGCACGATTCTGGGCTCTTACCACTACCTACTTAATTTCATCCTCAAAATAATCATAATGTGCCAGGTTATTATTATTCCCATTTTACAGTTAGGAAACTGAGGCACATAGCTTATAAGTACAGAGGGAAGTTAAACTAAAAGGCTATTTATTTCAAGATTGCTGATTCTAACACAATATGCTGCTTCACAGACTTATTTATAATATCTAAAATTAAATTTTAAAAATTTGAACAGATGTAATTGTACAAAAAGCAATGCTTATATACAAAAATTTTAGTTCCTAGTATATTAGCAAATTTTATGTGATTAAAATCATTTATATGTTTTAAATGATTTATAAAGTTGTGGGATAAAATTTAAAAAACACCAACTATTGAGTAAAACCACATTTATCATTTTTATATGAAACCTGACTACATATTTTAGAAACAAACTTGGGTTTTATTCTATATCTGTAAATTTCACTTATATACCTGCCCTACTATAAGAATTATTTATATCAAATAATTATTACTATCATGACTTCTAACCACTCAAATATTAATGTTGGATAGTGACAGGAATCATATATTGTTTCCTCCAAGGCATTTATAGACTAGTAGAGTGACAGATGTAATGTCAACTCATTTAAAGGAGTGAGTAAAGAAGGTTGAGGAGTAGGATTAAGGGAATTGGTAACCAGTGATTATAGTCTGATAGCCTCAAATTTTCAAGCTTGAACATTGCTAAAGTGAGTAAGTTCTCAAGCCCTACCCAGGGTGTATGATGGGTGTTATAGGATTAAGGTGAAGAAAGTTCTCTCTATCCTTAACCAGAGGCATGGAAGATATTTCATTGTTACATTTTAATAGAGTTCAGAAATATAAATGTCATTTCCAATGTTTCTTTGTCTTATTCCTCAGCGCCCATAACCCAGGGAACTGGAGTCAACTTCCCAATTGGAGAAATCCCAAGCCAACCATACTATCATGACATGAACTCGGGGGTCAATCTTCAGAGGTCGCTGTCTTCTCCACCAAGCAGGTAACCGAAAGAAGGGCTGCTCTTATTCTCAGTTGATACACACATAGGTAGGTAGGTGGATGACAGGCAGATAGATGGGTAGGTAGGTAAAGGGAGATGGGAAATAAGAGTTTTTACTGCTAGTACACAGATTTTAATCTTTCCTGATTATATTTATTTAGCTGTTACAAATTAAATGTAATTGTTGTATACAGCAGCTTAAAAAATCTTTTTCAGGGGGTTAGGTAACTATGAAAATATACTAATATGATTTTTATCCTGTTGTATGAAATATTAAAATGCTACCAGTTAATGAAATCTTTGGATGCCTTTAAAAATGATGTTGCTGTGGCAGTGATCTCTGGTTTATAACTGATTCTTGGTAACTTTTACCCAAAAAATACACCTAAGCTTGGGATCATGAGACATAAAAAATACGATGTTTCATTTATGTAGCCTTAAAATTAAAGACCACAGTTTTCCAGGTTCTTCAATTAGTTCATTTTTTTGACTAATTTAGGCAACTCTCAGTTACCAATGAAAATATTACCTTTCCTGTTCTGTGAGTTACCAGGAAAAGAAAAATATTTTGTTTCCTGAGATTTGGTTTTACCAGTCTATGTTGGGGGGAAGCTATAGACAGTTCTCTTTGGTTTTAGTTCTCTGTTGACATTCTCATTTTTTCCCCTGCACTTCTCATTGTAATTGTCAGTCAGGATGCTTAAAGATTACAGACGTATTGATTTTATTTTGTTTGTTCGTTTGTTTTTGGGCTGGATCTTCAAGACTTATCTCATTCCTAGAGCATTAAATATATATGTAATCAAATACAAGAGCATACATGAATTCTAGAGCAAAACACTCATTTTACAATGTCAGCTTTTAAAAAATAAAAGAATATCTGTATATTTATTTTTCTAAACTATTTTCAATAATGAAAGTCCACTGAATTTGAATTAATTATGCACTGTGCATATTTGTATGCTTATAAATGAAGGTCAGTTTTATATCAGTTCTGGTTTTTCTATAGTTAAATTATGTAGCAAGATAATTGGGTTTATTATCATTAAAATAGTCTCTGACATATTGAAGTCTTAAAAATGCTTTGGTTTTTCTAAATTTAAAATGTGAATAGTAATATTTAAAATTTTAACTGCTAAATGAGTATGATCTTTCTTCATGACTGCTCTATATAAGATACTGTCTTTCTTATCTTATAAGATAAGAATAAACAAGGTTTAGAAAACATTTCTCTATTACTTCCTTATGAATACAATTTGTCTCCCATTTTAAGGTTTTCAGACACATTTTCTGCTGACTCACAATGAGAGAAGTTAGATTAAAAAGAGAGTTAGATATAAGGTCTAACCTTGGTTACTTTAGGAAGAAACTAAGCTTAGCGTGGATAGAAATTGCCTTCTTCTATATCATATTAATACTCTGAGAATTGTGAGTCAAATATTAAGCATGAGCATCTACAAATGTACTCAGACGTATGCATCATTCAAGGTCGTGGAAACGCAACGCAGTGGAAAGAGCACAGTTTGGAAGTCAGATGTCCTTACCTTATGTCTGACTGCTTCCATTAACTTGCCCTGGGCAATCCACTGAATCTCTTCAAATGTGTCTCCCCATTTGTAAAAACAAGGGGATTGGTATATATGTATGATTTTTGAGGCCACTTTCAACACTGAAATCCTGTAATATTATGGCTATTATTGTTACAAAATGTTAATTTTGAATATTTTTAAAAGGTTTTACCAGCATAGGTGTGAATAAGATTTTTTTTTTTTTTAATTAAAGAAAAAATGTTCATTGGGCACAGTGGCTCACACGTGGATTCCCAAAACTTTGGGAGGCCCAGGCAGGAGGATCCCTTGAACCTAGGAGCTCAAGGCCAGCCTGGGTAACTCCCTCCCTACAAAAAATTTTTTTTAAGTTAGCAAGGCATGGTGGCATGTGTGTGTGATCCTAACTACTTGGGAGGCTGTGGTAGGAGGATCATTTGAGCTTGAGGCTGCAGTGAACTATGATCATGCAGCTGCACTCCAGCCTGAATAACAGAGCAAGACCCTGTCTCAAAAACAAACAAAAAAGAAAAAATTCATTTTTATAGTCATAATTTCATAATTATCTGCTTTATGGGATATTGGTGGGGGCATAAGAAAGAAGTATATCAACCAGTATGGATATAAAATAGCTTCTTAATCTTTGTTCTGGTTATTCATCTTTCTTAATCATTGAGATAAGTCATATTTCCATATTAAAATGTATCATTTTGGCTGGGCACAGTGGCTCATGCCTATAATCCCAGCACTTTGGGAGGCTGAAGTGGGAGGATCGCTTGAGCCCGGGAGTTTAAGACCAGCCGGGGCAACCAAGCAAAACCCGTCTCTACAAAAATACAAAAATCATGTGGGTGTGGTATGGTGGCAGGCACCTATAGTTCAGGCTAGTTGGGAGGCTCAGGTGGGAGGATTGTTTGAGCCCATGAGGTGTAGTTTGCAGTGAGCCAAGATCAAGCCACACTCTATGACATTCTGGGTGAAAAAGTGAGGCCTAGTCTCAAAAAAAATAAAGGTATCATTTTAAAAGTGTACCATTTAGTTCGAACTTGCCAATGGGCTTCTCTTTTCACAGTTGATTTTAAGAATAAAGAATAAATAAGTTTTAAGAAAAAGGTAAAGAGTAATATATAAAATAATCAGTAAATTGCTATAAATTTTTTATTATTAATTATAAGGTTGTTACTAAAAATTACAATTTGATAAGTATCTTCTAAACACCAGCCACTTAACTAAAAGCTTTACATTTAACAACTCGATTTACCCTTCCAACCATCTGCCTTTGAACTAGGTTTTATTATTTCCATTTTACAGATGACTTAACTGAATTTAAGGAGCTTACTATTAAGAATTCATAAGTGGCCTAGTCAGAATTTTACACTAGGACTGTCTGACTCCAAAGCTCTTGGTCTTCACATTAATCTTTGGATTAATGTGAAAGGACTGCATTATCAATGAAAAATCCCGATTAAAGGAACATTGTTAGTATTGATAATGATAGTGAGTCAGGTACACACAACACAATTTTAATATTAGAAGGTTAACCACATTAAGAGTTCACTTTTTATTAGTGGAACGTTTTTGAAAATACATTTGAATGGTAAATATAATGAACACCATATTTGTTAGATAAGTTTAGGTATAAGATGATATAATAAATGGTGTATGCAACTAGAAATATTTGCTATTACTATTGATGTCTTGAATACTCACCATTATTTCAAAATGATTCTGAAATACTATTACCTGTGCTTATGAAAATTTCCACAGTAAGGATCTTTTCAGATCATTTACTTTCAAATGTACACATCTTCCCAGAAATCCCATTAATATAATTATTGCCATATTTTAACAGCAAAAGACCCAAAACTATATCCATAGATGAAAATATGGAACCAAGTCCTACAGGAGACTTTTACCCCTCTCCAAATTCACCAGCTGCTGGAAGTCGAACATGGCATGAAAGAGATCAAGGTGAGTAAAAGGAGATGCCTCTAGAGTAAAATGTTGGCTCATTTCTTAAGTTTCTTTTAGTCAAACTTTCATAATTAAACCAATATGGATTATATTTTTTTATAAAATGATTCCTGTAGGATTTTTTTTGAGATAATAATGTCAACTGTCAAAATTAATTTATTTAAAATCTTATTTTTATGTGTTTCACTGGACTTTTTTTCAGACAAAATGATATTTTAGAACCCACAATTATGTGTGTGACTGATTATGGTCTGTCTGCATTTGTTGGTTGGAGCACAGCAGAACCGCAAGTTGTGATTCAATTAGATCTGCCTGCTCCTCTCTATGGGGCATTGCAGGGAGCCAAACTTTAAGCAGTTTGCAAGTGCCAGGAACTGGAAGTTCTCATTTAAAGGGAGCTACAATTCCTTTTGGAAGTAGGTAAAGCACATACAATAAAGAAAAGTATAATGTAAGGTACACTGTATCAGAGTCAAAGTCAATCTACCTAGGCTTTCTAGATAAAACTGTGACCCAGTTCTAAGGCAGCTTAAATATAACTTTAAGAAATGGGTATTGAGATCCAGAAGGATTGAGACTTAGCTAGTCTTAAAGTCTGTTGGATTTATCATATTTCATCAGATATATCCATGCTTTCCCCATAATCAGAGGGAGATTATTAAGCCTGGAAACAGAAAAATTAGCTAGATGCAATTTTTGTTAGTATGTAAGCATGTGTGCAAATAGGATGTTATGTCAGCAACATAAATGTGTATTTCTAAGTTGTCTTTTAAGTAGAATTCTGCATTTAGAAAGGATCTAGCCTAGGTAATGTGGCAAGACCCCATCTCTACAACAAAAAAAAGAAAAATACAAAACATTAGCCAAGCATAGTGGTGTGCGCCTCTCATCCCAGCCACTCAGGAGGCTGAGGTGGGAGAGTCAGTTGGGCCCAGGGAAGCAGAGGCTGCAGTGAGCTGAGATCATACCACTGCACCCTAGCCTGGATAACAGAGTGAGACTGTGTCTCAAAAAAAAAAAATAAATAAATCTAAAAAAGGGAATAATGGTTTTCAGCCCAAGACTTGGTTGTGTGTTGGTGAGAATTGGGATACTCTATGTTGAGTACTCTTGGGAGACACATAACTCTGGAGTGTAATGGTTAAGGCCAAAGTCAGTCCCTTATTCCCTTTTTGCTGCTCAAATTTTTTATACTGAGTGACATGGGGTTTAAAGAATAGTGAAAAATCTTCATGGAGACATTGGGCTTTGAGTCAAGTGTACCTCCTTTAGCACAACTGACTCAAAGCTCATTTCCTAAATCTCCTTGAGATTTTAACTGGTAAAGAAGTGAGGGTCTGGAGAGGGTGGAAGTGGAGAACTCAGACAAAAGCGTAGCCAGGTGTTAGGTGGGGAGGCAAATTTGAGAATGGCTGTGTGTGCCATGTGGCTGGACACTGTGCATGTGGAGGGAAATAATGGAGATGACAAGGGTCATTTTATACAAGGATTTGAACTCAGCTGGAGAGTTTTGACTGTGAGACCCCCCTCAGAGGGAGTTTTGTCTCTGAGACTCCCCTCATGTGAGACCCCACCAAATCTATCTTTGAGGCAGTAGGCAAACATCGTCTTTATAAAACATAAATAACAACAGGTCACTCCTCTGCTTCAGATCCTCTAGTCACTTCCCATTGCTCTAAAGAAGAAATGGGAATTTTCTTATATGACCAACAGGCCTGGCCCGTGACTACCACCATAACCTTGGCAGGTGACATTCTGCTTCCCCATGCTTGCACTTGAGCCCACTGCTTTATTAAAGCTGGGAATGCAGCACCCAGGACCTTCCTATAAGTTATGACCTCTGGAATGCTCTTCTTCTAACTCTTCATCTGGCAAACTTTGTTGTCCTTCAAATCCCAGCTTAAATTGAGAAATTTCAGTCTAAATTCTGTCTTCCTAGTTTTCTCTGTCAACACCCCGTACTGTTCCTTCATTATACTCATAATATGTAATCCCATAGCTACTTATGGGATTAATTGTCTAAATCTGTGTACTCTCTGAGAGCAGGAACCTTATCTGTTTTGACTACTGCTGTAACCAGCACTTAACGCACACTTGGTGCATAGTAGGAGTACAACAAATAGTTGTATAAATGAACCATTGATAGGCAGAACACCAGTCACATTAGTGAAGGCAAGATGATATAGAGACTTTTGCCAGAGTTGCAGAAGTGAAACGAAAAACAAAACCCTCAACTCTTTATATTTTATTGCTTGTTTTACTGACATTGTCAGCTTATTCTAAACGAAGCCATACTTTTCCTGTCAGAAAATTTCTTCTGGAAAAGATTCTAATGGTAATAACCTTGTGAATGTGTGGGAATGGATGCGTTATTCAGAAGTGTAGGTGTTTTTTATTATAGAGAGTGTCACTTTGTAAGAATTGATTCCTCTTTCAGCCTGTTGAATAAAGCCAATCTCAAATCATATTATAAAACATTTTTGAAAAGTAGAAGGGAAACTGTCATTCTTTTTCTTTGTGATGTCGTTGTATTGTCTTGGTTATTTTCTTTTGTCAAGATGATTAGACTTATTGGAGGAATCTGCAAAGGCATATTATATTAAGAGTAAGGAAGAATATTCCATTCTCAAATGTGCTTAAGAAAATAATGACACTGCCACTTTAATTCTGTAGACCCTGAAGATGTTGTAATGTGTACAATAAGCCGTTGTGGGAAGGAGACTCAACTACAATGAAGAAATATGGGCAATACAGTACTATCTTTATAAATTTGCTAAGCCCAATGCAGTCTTCTTAGAAAATTGCTTTTTAATATTGTGCAAAATAAAATGCCCAATGGTGTTCTTGTCCATCTTCAAATGTTCTCTAGATATACTTGCTTGTGATGGAGGGAGTTGTCTAAAGCACATATTGAGTGCCACTCCAATCATTGTAATGCCTTTAAAATGTCTTGTATTTATATTTTCTCCCACAAAGCGCTGCACTAATTGATACTCAATAACTATTTATTGGTTGATTAAAATACGCTTGTGTTTAAAATGGGCAGAAATGCTTAAATTTACTATTAACTATTTCCTGGGTATATCTTATTCTGTTAGTGTTAAATTTGCATTAAAATATATTCTTGGTGTAGCCCTTAGCAAAAGTGATATATTAAATATGAGAATCAAAGATAACAAAATTATGGACAATATGTAGCATTCTACTTTCCCTTAAAATCTGAAATACCAAGTTAAGTCATTGAGATTTATTCCAAGTAGGCAGAAATAAAGGATGTAATATGACCAAATTATTATACATATTCTATTCTGAAAATAGACAAAATATTAATATAACATCTAGATTTATGTAATAATATGTTCATGCAATTTTAGTAATTTAATGAAAAAGTATTTTTATTTTAGCATATTGCAATAATAAATCCATTATGTCCTTGGGTTATTTCTTTTCAAAACAACAAGTTATAACTTTCTGATTAAAAGAGAATTGTAATTTATACTTTTATAAATATAGACATGAATATTTTAAAACTAATCATAATTTAATAGTCTTAAACAGTAAGGGGCTATATAATTTGCTTTCTTCTGATGAATAGTGATGAAAATTAAATTTGTCAGCATCTATATTATGTAATATTTATATTTTTACTTTATGTTATTTTATACATACGGAAGGAAATGAAAAGGAAAATAATGCTGAGTCACTACAAAGGGGTATTGAACAACTGTTGTATTGCTTTCCTACATTCTAGAATATTTCTCCTTACTTAGTCTCTTCTGTAAATCCTGGTCTTAAACTTCTGACTGCCCCTCTCTCTGTTAAAAACTTTCTTTTTTGGATACTATTTTTCTTCATTTAAGATTTTAATGATTAATAAATAGAGCCAGATTAGTTTATCAACAGGCAAGTTGAACGTCTCTTTTATTACAGTACTTACTCCATAAAAAATTCATTGAGATCTTGTCTTTCTTAATTTTTTTCCACCTGAGTCAATTCAGACTGAATTCTTAGTTGATGTACTTTTTTTGAAATTTTTCTTTAGAGCAATCTTTTGTAACTTTTGCTACAAGAGGAAAAATAAGACGTAGGTCATAGTTTTTCCTATAATTCAAGTTACTCTCATGAGACTAAATCTAGTTGTATTCCAATGCTTAGTGTATTAGACCATTTTTATGCTGCTGATAAAGACATACTTGAGACTGGGCAATTTACAAAAGAAAGAAGTTTATTGGACTTACAGTTCCACATGGCTGGGGAGGCCTCACAATCATGGTGGAAGGAGGAGCAAGTCACATCTTACATGGATGGCAGCAGGCAAAGAGAGAGCTTGTGTAGGAAACCCCTGTTTTTAAAACCATCAGATCTTGTGAGACTCATTCACTATTATGAGAACACTGCAGGAATGATCTGCCCCCATAATTCAGTCACCTCTTACCGAGTTCTTCCCATGACATATGGGAAGAAGATGAGATTTAGGTGGGGATACAGCCAAACCGTATTACTCAGTAATTTAACAGACAAATAAATAGTATGCTTGAATATGTAAAACAATTCTTTGTAAGATCACTTTGCCACTGCCGTTTTAATAGTCACTAATTTATCTAACTCTGAATGTAAAACTCCTAAAACATTTAATAGACATTTAGTGAGAAAAAACATGATATGATCAATATATTTGCAGTATGCAGCTGGGGATTTCTAAGTGGAAATTTTAACAGCTTTTCAGCCAGATGAGTGTTTAAACAACCTGTAATCTTACATAAAATATAAATTCAAAAAGACTTTATGCAGTAAAATGTTATTAATTTCTACATGTATGGGATTTGAGATAATTTGGTTCAATGAACATTTGTCAAATGTCTATTATATTGGAGGAATTTTTGCAGGCATTGGGCATGCAAATATGAATAAATTAAGTTTCCAGAGCTTGACCTGCTGAATGGAAAAATAATTTTTGCTCTTTAGAAAAAGGGGGACTAATATAAATAAGATTATGA